CATCTATGCAGCTCCCGCCCCGAGCCGTTTCTCGGTGCCCGGGAGGATTTGGAGGGGCCGGCCCCGCTTTGACCCCCGGCACTGGCTGCCCGGATGAACGGGTGGGCGGCCACGAGGCTTCCACTGCGGCTTTCGCAAAATGGGCGACCACTCGGGAACTACACTCACGTGACACGCTTAACCTTACAGAGCCGCCCCCTTCTTTGGATTCACACAATACAGTATGACGTTTGTGCTACACACTGACCCAGAGGCTAAAGGTTAACCCTACTTGAGCTTCGCCAATGTGTTGGCTGCAGATTCCGTGTAGTCTGCAGCTGAGGTGGTTGGGCATGATGGGAGGCATAGTCCACTGGGCGGGGGTCCAAGGTGGCTGCAGGGCCGGGGTCTTCAGTGCTCCCAGCTGAGCCGCTCAGCAGGTCCCCATATATGTTGGTTGGGCCCTTCTGGGGCTTGGCTTCCAAGGCTGGGAGTGCAGGGATCTGAGGCTCTGCTGGGTCTCAGCCCTGCGCGGGCTGCACACATGCTCCTGGCGTTCATGGCCACCATGGCGGCCGTGGACCCATCCCAGGTCATTCACGGCCCAACTCGAAAGAGCGGTCACACACTGGACGTGGTTTCCTCATCTGAGCAGTGGCAATGGGATCGATGGGGCAGCTGTCTGTGTCCCCTCTGCCGAGGTCGGATCACGCCCTGGCGACCTGGCGACCCTTACACGGGGAGGCGGGACCCATTCGGCTGGCCCGCCCCGGTGACTGATGGGGCCGGTGGGGCTCCCGGGGGACTGGGGTTGTCCCTGAGGCTCTGCTGCGCGGTCCCGCCGAGGTGCCAGCCGCTGCCCGGAAAGGGAAGGCGGCTGAGGCCTTAGGACCGTGCCGGGCAGCCTCTCGCGGCCCATCGCTCCCGTCACCCCCGTGGTCTGCGGCAGAGTGGAGGGAACTGAAAGGCTCAAGAGATGTCTAGAGCGCCGCCGGAGGAAGACGAGGGACGAATCCGACCGGACACGAGTCAGAGCCGCGATTAAGGCTACCTCGTGGCACTAAAAGCAGCGAAGCGCTGTTATTTCTCCGCTCTTATTACGTCCACAGAGTGCTGCCCGGCGGCCCTGTCCAGGGTTCCCTGGACCCTCCTGGGTAAGGGGGGCTCGGGGTTTAGCGCAGCGGAATTCGCTGCGCATCTGGCGGATAAGGTCGCTGGATTCGTTCCCAGCTGGAGGCCAAGCGTGGTGCAGGCCCTTTGGAGATGCCTGGGAACGGCCCTGCCCGTTATCCGGGAAGAGTTTGAGGCTGCTGGCCTGAGGGAGTGCGCAGGTCCTCGGATCTGTAAGCGCAGCCACCTTGGTGTTAGGTCCATGCCCCTCCTGGTTGGCCCAGGCCACCCGGGAGGTGACACGTGGGTGGGTGTGAGCGACGGCAAATACATCCTTGGGCAGGGGGACGTCCCCGGCTCCTTTTAAAGAGGCACCGGTCGCCCTCTCCTCAGGAAGCCGTCGCTGGACCCCACCGTTCTGGACAATCTTTGGCCAGTCTCCCACCTCCCCTTTTTAGGGAGGGTGGTTGAGAAGGCGGTGGCGTTGCAGCTCCAGAGGACCCTGGATGAAACGGATTATCGGGGCCCCGTCCGGTCAGGGTCCAGGCCTGGATTCGGGACGGAAACGGCATCGGTCGCGCTCATGGATGACCTCTGGCGGGAGCAGGATGGGGGCAGCGCACCCACCCTGGCTCTCCTTGACCTCTCAGCGGCTTCGATACCATCGACCGCGGTATCCTTTTGGGTCGGCTGTGGGGGTTGGGGGTGGGCGGCACAGCACTGTGCTGGTTCAGCTCCTTCCTCCGAGGCCGAACCCAACCGATGTTGACGGGGCGAGAGGTCCAGCCTGCGGCCCCTGCTCTGTGGGGTGCCGCGGGGGTCGGTGGGCTCTCCGGTCCTTTTTAACACGCACACGAAGCCGCTGGGTGAGACCGTCTGTTACCGCGGGATGAGGTAGCATCAGTAGATGGGTGATGCTCAGTTGAGCATCTCCGTCCCGGGTGAATTAAGGGGTGCCGTGGATGGTCTTCCGCGATGCTTGGAGGCCGTGGGGGTCTGGATGGGGAACCACAGGCTTGAACTGAACCTGGGTAAGATGGAGCGCTCTGGGTTTGGGACTCTTCCGTGTCTGGGGCCTTACCATCTTTGGTCCTGGATGGAGTTGCGCTGCCCCAGACGGAGCGGTGCGTAATCTGGGGGTCCTCCTGGACTCACGGCTCCTGCTCAAGCAGCAGGTAGCAGTTGTGGCTAGGAGGGCCTTTGCGCAACTCCATGTTGTGGACCAACTGTGCTCCTTCCTTGAGCGGGGAGGCCTTCTCTCAGTCACTCATGCCCTGGTCATCAACTGCTCTACGTGGGGCTACCCTTGAAGAGTATCTGGAAGCTGCAGCTACTGCAGAATGCAGCAGCGCAGGCAGTTATGGGCGCCTCTGGGGCTGCGCACGTAACCCCTCTGCTGTGTATAAATTTGACCAAACAAACAAACAAGAAGCCGAAAGCGCAGCCCAAGCCCAGTTCTACCCCCAGCATGCTCACGCTATTCTATGAGAGGAAGGATCTCCAATCTAGAGGCCACCTTGCAAACCAGCATACAGTTGCAGAATCCCTTCCCACTCGGAGGTACCTGCATTGGACCGACGTACACACAGAATGAACCCCGCCAAAGCATCCTTTTGCCCAGGGTGTAAGGCAGCCCCACCTGCTTAACAGCCCTCGGTGTGGCCAGAGGTCCAGGAATGCAATGGCGCCCCATGGCTAAATGGGGAACCATCTTGCGGAAAGGATGCTCTGCAAATTGGACAGGGCCACAGCCCTGGGCACCTGCCTCCCGCGTCCCTCCTTTGTTTCCCTCACCTGGAACCGCTTGTGGATGTCTGCAGGGCAGAAGCTGAGCAGCGGACCAGCAATCCCCACCAGCTTTTCTACCACGCCCTGATGCCGAAGGCTTTCTGCGGAAAGGCGCTGGAGACACAGGGAACTCGGATCAGGAAAGGGAGCTGGGAGCCCGGGGTGCCATCCCTGCCCTCATTCTGAACTGGCTGCACATCTACGTTCATTCTGGTGGTCGGGGCATCCAAAGATCACCATGGCACATGGCAACTTTCGCTTTCCTAGCAGGAGGCAGCCTGGCTTGTCGTGCGGGATGCGACAGGTGCCTTCCTCGCCTCGCTCTTCCCGCTTGCTGCCTGTGATTGTGCCAACTGGGAGGAGGCTTTGCCTTGCAGTGCTAGAGCTTCCCCTCCCTCCAGCCCCCACCAGGTGAGGCCCTGCGCCGGGAAGCACAGAGCAGAAGGAGCCGAGATGGCTGCCACTCGTCCGCCAAGCACCTGCATGCTTCGGGGAGGCCCCTGGCTGCACCTCTGCCATCCTGTGCCGACTGGAGGGTGTTTGCTCCCCACCCCCCTCCTGCGCCCCCCACCTCTCGGAGGCAAGGCCCCCACACCAACCTTCTGTTCAGCAAGTGCCAGGCAGGTGGCCTGGATGTTCAGGTGCACTTGGCTCAACTCCTCCAAGCGCGAGCTCAGCTGGGACACAGCGGCCAGCTCAGACCGCAGCCCCTGCTCCAGCTGAAACGGGAGGGAGGCACAGCCCAAATCATCGGGGCGGCTGGGCCAAGAAGCCTCTCCCAAGCACAGGATGGAGGAGTTGGGGAGGGAGCCTCGTGTGCCACGGGCAGCTCTGGGGAGCCCCTTGTCCCAGGCACGCCACCCAAGCCGGGCAGCCACTCCAGGGGCTGCAAAGGCAGCTGGGGGAAGGCTGGCAGCAGCAGCAGCAGCAGCACTCAGCTTTCCTGCCCTTGCAAGTATCCGGCCCAGTGAACCAATCCCGCTCTCCAGCAGAAGGGACCAGGCGGACCCTTTGCCCTGCCCTGCCCTCCCCTGCCCAAAGCATCCCACAGGGGCTGCTGGAAAAGGGGTCCTGGAAGAGGCAGGCCTTTTCCACCTGCCCGCCAATCCCCTCACCCTACCTTGTCTCTGTCTGCAGGTGCCAGGGGGCAGGGGCCTTCTCCTGGCACTGACTGCTCCTTCTCCATGTGCTCCAGCCACAGGGCCAGGCCCTCCTGGGCAGGGTCCAGATGGGAGGACACTTCTAAGGCCTGCTCCAGTCGCTGCAGGGTATCGCTGCTCCTCTGCCCCACCAGCAGCAGCCTCATCTGCAGGGAGTCCATCTTCCCCTGGACAAGATGGGCCTCTCCTCCTGCAACAGCACAGCATCACCTCAGCCCCCAGGGCGGGGATCAAGGTGCAAGCAGTGGACTGAGCCAGTCCAGCACTCACACCAGGTATCAGCTCCGCCAGCTGCTGATGCTGGAGCAGCAACTTGTAGCGGGCCAGTCTGCACAGTACTGGACTGATATCTACTCTCGCTGCAGCCCAGATTCTTATCCCACACAGCACCAATTCTGGGAGCTCAGGGCAGAAAAGAAGAAATGTAGAAAAGCTTTTTTGAAAATGCGGCAGGGGAGCTGTGCACTGTATACACATGCTATTTGAGTTGACACTTTGGCTGTGTCTTGTGAACACAGCCTGTGTCGATATTGCTATCAACTTGCCACAGATAGGCATTGTGCTGAAAGCTTGATGGGCGTGATTGCTTAGGTACAGCTATGGGATCATTTAAGCTCCCCAAAAAAGGCTTGGAAATGAGCATAAATTATAAGGAGCTCTTCTCACACACACACAAATCTTCCCTCCTTATCTCCAGCTTCCAGCTCCAAAATACTGGTGGCTAAATATTGGTCAGAAGCTGCCTTGAAACTCTGAACTTGGTAGGAGGGGAGAAATGTTGAAGTGCTTCCTCAACTCTTCATTGCCATAACCCTTAGCAAATATGATTAGTGGCTAGGTGCCGGAGGGTAGAGGTATATAAAGTTTTTAAAAGTTTGATTTTCTTTATCTTTTATGAGATTGGTCTATCTCCCAAAAAGGGGGAGGGATTAAAAGGGGCTGATTTCCCTAACCATGTGCCTCAATGGCTTATAAAATATATAAACAGATAAAAACAAAACAAAAACAAATAATCTACTGGTGTAACCAGCATTTGAGGACAGTTGTTTTTTACACCATTTTACAGTTCTACTATATGTAATAGAGAATGGGGTGATCCAGATATCTGGGGGTAGGCTGTTTACTTATTTATTTATTTTATATTTATCTAATGAAATTGTATCACTGACTGACTCAGCACACACAAGGGGGTCATTACTGAGAAATCATGACTGTAGATGGCATTACCACTAGGTATTCCTGCAACTACTTGGGCTGCTATTTGCTGAACCAATTGAAGGTTCCAAATGGTTCCCAACGGCAGCTCCATGTGGAGCAAACTGCAGTAGTCCTGTCGCAAGGGGACAGGGGGGCGAGTGACTGGACAAAACTTCCTGTTCCAGAAATGGCTACACGTGATGCAGAAGACATAACTGGTCCTCCTCCCCCTGGCCTCCACCTGGTGTATAAGGAGGAGCTGTGATTCCAGAGGGACTCCTAGATTGCGGATCAGCTCTATTCAGGTTTGGTGGAGAATGCCGAACATCTGCGCTCCCCAGAAAATAGGTGGTGACAGCAATAACTACCCAGCCACTACTTCAAGGCAGAAGGTAGAGTTAAAGTGTGTAGACTGAGGGCTTCTGGGCGAGGTTTGAGACCTTCAGGTTTCCACCTCTGCTGCACTGTCAGCTTTTGTGGACCAGGCCCACAGAGGCCTAGACTGCACCTTCAGCTGACAGAGGAAGCAAACAAGGGGAGAGAAAAGATCATGAATGGAGCCAGAGAGGGGAAAAAAAGGCTGACCGACTCACAGTGGCTTCATCCCTCCTTGGCCCTTAGTGTTAAGCAACCCCTAGCCAGAGCAGCTGCACTTAACATTTATAGGAGGCCAGAGTCCCCATCAGCAGGATAGGGACGCAAAGTAGATGGGCCCATGTCAGTGCCACCCCTGTGGGCTCTGACTTCAAGTTAGTCTCTTGGACTTTTAAGCTAGGTTAAACATGTTTTAATGTTTATAGTGCAGGTCTTGTGCCTCTCCTGCCTCAGGATGGGACACTGCCACTGGTTTTTGGCAGGTGTCCTCAGAGGAGGCTCTGGGGAGGCAAAACTGGATTCAAGAGCTGCATGGGGCCATGAACCCCAAGTCATCCACTGCTGTTCTAGCAGGTCTGCAAAGCAAGACACAATGAGAAGGCACAATGGAGGGGCAGTTCCTAGAGGATTTGCCCAGGTGCTCCCTTGGGAAGAGGAGAGCGGGATCTCCTGGCACAGGGAATGCAGTGGGAGAAGACAGAGAGGAAAAGGAAAGAAACCGTTCTGCAAATAAGGGCAGAGTTGGGTCAATGCATTTAGAACTTGCATCCTGTACTATGTGTCTATGCAATGCTCTGGCCAATAAAGTCTTAACTGCTCATAAAACTAAATGAGAGAGAAAATTTAAGTCTCTGTCTCCACCCCCAGTGCCTGTGACATTGCACTTCCCGGAGAAGAGAGACTTTCCCTAATGCCGACTCCCAGCCGTGCAAATGCATCAGGCCCCGAAGGGCGAGTGGGTTGGGAGGAGGACTGTTTGTGGCACCCTCCTCCATAGCTCTGGATTGGGAGGTCTTGCTAGAAGAGGATCCCAAGCTTTGATTGTAACAAGCACCCCTGGAGCCTCAGGATCACTTTGCTCTGCAGCTCCAGGAGCTGACCCTGGGATAGCAAGATGCTTTGGGGCAGGCTGGATCAAGCTGGCACCTCAGAGGTCCTCGAACAAGGGCAACCAGACCCTCTGGATCTGGAATTGCTTTGGACTCCTGGGATTGGCACTGCTGCAGGGTGGGAATTGCTGATCATTGTGCAGCTCTCTGTCCCCTCCCTTAATGCCGCTAGGCCACTCAGCTATGGACCTCAAGGTCCTTGGCAGGGCTGCTGAACTCGACCTCTCGTGGGCATCTGCCACTCCCACTTGCCTGGCACCATCTTCAAGAGGTACTGTCCATGTCCCAGGGCCTGCTCCAGTTCTGCTGGCTTGGACTGAACTTCCTTGCACAGATCCTGGAGGGAAGCAACCACTGAAGTAGCTAAAAAAGCCCTTCTCTGCCCAATAGAGAGAACCTTTCCACTCCCTGATCAGAGAGCAAACTCCATCAGCCAGACTCTCCCACCGCATCAGGAGTCTGCGCATCCTCCCCACTGGGAACTGGGTCTCCTTTAGCATTTGGGTTTCCCTTCAACCTCCACAGGGTGCTCTGCACCGTCCCATGCCATGCCTGAATTTGCCGGTGGGCTTCTTGCGTTAGTGCTAGGCTCCCATGGGCTCGCCAGAGTTGGGTCAGTTTCTTCTCCGTGAAGCTCAGCCAGTCTTGGAAAGAATCAACCGACTCCTGGAAGATGTCAGCAGCAGGGAGGATCTGCTGCAGGGAGCTGTGCCTGTTGAAATAGAAGACTGACGGTGAGATGGCAAGCCAGGAAGGCACAGCAGGACACAGCAAGAAAGGCCACAGGAGAGACTCTTCTCCCTAAACAGGTAGACTTCTAGCCACTGGAATGGATGCTGCAAAAAGAGGTGGCCTGGAGGGCATGTCACGGGAAGGCCAGGCAGGGCACCACCATAGGCAGCCTCCCTCTCCATTCTTTTCCTTTTCCTCCCACATCACGAATGGAAAGATTGCCAGGCACTGAAGTGGCACAGGGAAATTGCCAAGGGACTTAAGCATAGGTTCTGCTCGGCAACGAGAGAGCGCAGAATTCCCAAGGAGCCGCTCCAGCTAGGTGGGAGTACAGGACACATGGAATAACAACATCCTGGTAGACTAGAGCACTCCCAAAAGGCCCCCAGAGCTGCCTGCTCCACCAAGACGGAGCATCTTCAGTGGACTGAACTGCTGGCCAGGCCAGGGCCAGGACACTGCCTAAGGGGGACATTACGAATCTTTGAAGAAAACTTGTGGCTCCTCAGGACCCAGAAAGGAGAGAAGGAAGTGGCCCCACACAACCTCTGGGAAGATTTTCTCTCTCCACAAAGAGGGGGATGTGGACCCCAGAGATCTCCTGTTGGGAGGCAGAAGAGCCTCCTCTTGGCTTGGATAATGGCTGAGAACTTGCCTCAGGCTGGAAGGAAGAGCAAAGAAAACAAGGCTGCTGGGTGGGAGCTTATTACACTCAGCCAAGGGGGAGAAAGGCCAGTGCCTGGCCCTCGATGCCACTATTTTGGTGAAAGATGCAGTCTTGGGCAAAGTCAGGCAAACCACCCTTTGCCCGTTAAGACTTGCACAAGTGCAAAAGCCACAGAAGGGACCACCAAGAATCCTCCGCTGCTCTGGAGCGTTCTTGGTTAAGCCAGATGGAACGAAAAATGCCCTCCTGTGGCTTGGCTGTCCCCATGGGTTGAGGTGTTACTGCACCAGGGCAAAGACCTGGATTCCGATGTCATGCACAGAATGGGACAATATGAACCAAGTGTTGGCACAAAAGCCCTCTTGTAGGGCCTGTATTTGTCCACATGCCTCACTGAGTCAGTTGAAGGCCAAAAACAGTGTTGGCAGAAAATCCTAAGCTTGGCCGGTGTTTGCTGTGTGAAGCAGAAAAGGGACCAACCAAGTTGAGGGTGCTGTGCAAAGCTGGGCACTAAGGCCAGCAAACAAACAGCGCGGGAAGGCAGAGCAACTCCTTTCCCCCAGGTGGGGTTGGCTCTCTCTCACCTGGCTTTGGCTTCCCGGACCAGGATCGCCCACTTCTCCTGAAGGCTGGCGAGGCCCCCAGGCTGCTCCTGTCCCTCAGCTGCACTGACCAGCTCGGCAGGTGGCGTCTGGCTCCCCGGACCAAGGCGCTCTACGTGGGACGTGCGCTCCTCCAGCAGGCGCAGCAAAAGCTATTCGGGGAAGAGCAGCTGGTTAGCTGTGGGCTCTCAGTGAGGAGCCAGGCTGCCTCACTCACACTGCCTCTCTTCCAGCAGAAACCTCCTGAAGAACCAGCCGCTCTATCAAGCAATTAATGGCATTCTCCCTGGCCCTTCACGGCTTCCTTTCCAACCATGCCTCAACATGAACAGCCTCACCCTTTATTATAGGGAGTCCCCAGTTTAAGAACAAGTTCCGTTCCCAAGGTCTGTCCTTAAGGGGAATTTCTATGCAAGCCGGAACAGTACAATTGTATAATACTGTATAAGCAGTATCGGTTAATGAATTTGAACCACTGTGTATTTAGCTCAAATTTTGCTACAACAGGCTCTGTTCTGAACTGGGGTCGTCCTTAAATCAGGCATCCTTAACCCGGGGACTCCCTGTAATTCCTACCCCCCTCTGCAACTTGCAAAGTGGAAGATGCTACAGCACCTGAAACCTGCCAGGCCACCCCCCTTGCAAGGCAGCTGACAGGCTTTCCATTCCCAAGCCCCCAAACAGGCTCTCCATTCCCAAGCCGTTGCTGTGTGGGAGGATCGGGCTGCCTGACGAACGGGTCCTTGGGAGCGCTCAGGCATGCACGTAGAGCGCCTGGCCGCCCAGCAGTCAAGGATGACCCCGCTCCCTTTCCAGGAAGGGCCCACGGAAAGGCCCACCTGCCCGTGCCAAAAGCGTCTTCCCTCCCCAAGGGCCACTTCTCTTTCCCCCACTCTGCAACCTCGCCAGTTGAGCCAGCCTGGCCCCTTCCTAACGCCACTTCCTTTCCCGGGGCTGCAGGAAAGCTTCTGCCCTTCTTTCTGTAAGGGCTTCTGAACATTCCCTTCAAGATCATCTCCAGCTCTTTACAATATAGGTGTAAATTACATTGTGATATAGTGTTTTTGTAATAAAATTATGCATAATTTCAAAATGATCAAAATCTCCCACATCTCCCATTTCTGGATCGTAATCTTTCAAGAACTAGGTCATCTTGTGAGATACTGGTATAATGACGACGACGACGATGGTGGGGTTCCAGGAGCACCATTTTTGGCTGCAGCAGCTGTGGGAGTCTGAGCCGCTTTGCCTTCTGCCCCCGTTTCGACCCGATGACCCACCCCCAGGCAGGCTCTTCCAAGGCTCCTCCCTCGCTCAGCTCACCTTCTGCTCCTGCAGCTGTGCCTTCACGACTCTGGCTTCCCCAGAAGGAGGTTTCTGGTGGGCCACGAGGTCCTCCACATCACTGACCCAGGCAAGCAGCTTCCCCACCATCTCCTGGGTCAGCCCAGTGCTCTGCACATCGCCCGGAAAGGCTGCTGCCTGTGGAGAGAGGAGGAGACTCACTCAGCAGCCTCCCCCGAATGAGGGCTCCCCAGCGCCTCCTCAATGTGCCTCACTCAAGGCGGGGGGGTCGCACTGGTGCCGGCCACCCCTACAATCCCTTCAGTTCCCTGGAGCTCCCACAACGGGGAAGAGGGCTCCCACTCCTCCGCCCCACACACTCCAACCAGTCATCGTATTTGCTCCTTTCGGGGTCTGCCACCACTGGGCACAGTACAAAGGTGGCCAACGAGGCTTTACCTGGGCAGGTTAAGCGTGTCATGTGAATGTAATTGCTGGCTATTTGCAGAACACTCTAACTTGGGTCGGGGTTAGTGACTGGTTCGCCAGTCAGAGCTGAGGGGCTGGTTGGGGCTGACAAGGCATGCCGGGGGTTACCCAGGCTATCCTATCCTCCCGTGATCAGCCTGTGTTCCAAACACAGCCACTGGCTGGATTCACATCGCTCCAGGCTGCTAACTCTGAAGCAGGTGGCGGAAAGCGGGGGCTGTTCACACAAGGAGAGACAGTGGGTGGGTCCCCTCAATGCACCAAGTGCCGACTATTGCCCCCCACAGCAGAAGGCATGACCAGGGCCACAGGACAGGAGTCTCCTTCTGGAACCACCAAGCCTGCCCCCCAGCCCAGCTCCCCACCTGTGTGAAGCTGGCACCTCAAACCTTGTCAGAGGTAGAAGAGAGCTCCCTCCCCAGACATCTGTCCAAACAGGTTGCCAAGGGGTCAAAGCACGTGCCCTGCTCTGCTGCCAAAACGGGCACCAGGGGTGGGGCAACATCAGCAGGTTCCCATGAAGTCCGACCCGTGGCCATCCTGGCACAGTTCTCTGCCCCCGCAGTAAAACTCTGCTTTGGGCTAGGCAGGGGGAGGGGGCTCCTGGTGGAACAAGAGGAAGGCAAGAGTTGGCAGTTGCTGGGCAGAGGGCTGGGGGCACATCCAGTAGCCTGCGGGCCTACTTGCAGTCCAGCCCCATGTCTCTCTTCGGTCAGGCCAGCGACACCCCCCTCCACCTGGGAGCCAAGAAGGGACAGCAGCTGCCTGTGTCTTGGGGACAGGGAGGGGGGCACTGGGCCGTGCTGGCAGCGCCCTGCTTCAGAGACTTAGCAGCCACGCAAGCAGCACAGCCGCCTTACCTTGGCTGCAAGCAGCCCTGGGTGCAAATGTGAAGGGGCGGGCATAGCTCACAGCAAAAGCGTTGCCCCACAGCCCCCCCAGAGCGCTGGGGATGGGGCAGAAGGCGTGAAGCTGGGGGTGTGGTGCCTATTGACCTCGGGCAGTGCTCCTGTGAAGTCGGCCAGCACCTTCACCGTCCTGGCCACCAAGGCCTCTTGGGGCTGGTCCCCCCCAGGGTACTCCGTCACTTCCACGATCTCTGTCACAACCGTCTCCGTCACCTCCGTCACCTCTGTCACCTCCCTGGTGGTGCGCGGCCTCCAGCCCCAGCTGCTCCCCAAGCTCTTCAGCGGGGTCCAGGTGGCCACGGTTCCCTCCGGCGGAGCTTTGAGGGGGGGGCGGTTCTGCAGCTTAGCGTCCATATTGTTTTGCTTGGGGAGGGGGCTGCTCTTGCCGGCCCCCTCCAGGGCCATGTTCCAGCCATTCTCGATCACCCTGGGGCTGTGGATAGCCTTCTCCAGAGGCGCTGCGCGGTCCTCCTCATTGTTTCGGGTGGCCTCGCCTGGGGCCTTCCGGAAGTCTTCCGATCTGGGGCTTTTCTCCCCCAGGCAGCTGGGCCTGCTCACAGAGTTTCCCATGGCCGGCAGCCAGGAAGAGGCCAGGCTGCACCTTAGACCCCCATCTGAAACAGAGGAGGAGGAGGAGCTGCATACCTCGGGTGGGTGGCGGGGGGAATCGGCAGGCAAGACACTGGCCAGAGGCTTCCCTTGCCCCAAGGGCCAGAGCTCGCGGCTAGTCCACCAGCTGGCCGACTGACCGCTGAGGCAGGGAAGAGAGAAACAGCAAGATGACTTTCCCGTCTCTGCTGCTGTCTGGAGGCTTCTGACCCCGCAGCCCATCGGGAAGGAGTCGTGGCTGGGCCCTGGCTTGGGAAAAGCTGCCTTACCTGAAGGCGAAACGTGAAAATGGTTGTTGCAAAGCACTGAGCTCGCTAGGCAGGACCGCCAACCTTTAGCAAAGCCCAAGAGCCGCAGGCCCCCGGACCTCACAGCGTTCCCGAGCTCGCACACCACGCTGAGCTGCCGACTAGTCCAAAGGCTGGGTTTCCTTAACACGCGCCGCGCTCCCCAGTCAAGGTTAACCCTAACCGAGCTTGCTTATTTATTCGATCAAATTTATACGCCGCCCATCTCACTGCCTAAGTGACTCTAGGCGGCTTACAAGTGAAAAAGTAATAAAAAACGACAAAAATCTTTACAAAGATATACA